AAGTGCACCCTGAAGCATCTAGAACAGATTTGCACCACATGCTTCATCGGAGTAAAAGCGCTTGGAAGATGCTTGCAAACTTTGACTAGCTCCCATGACCCTGCAATATGAAGTTTAGATCTTCACTGCAGAGCACGAGCAGGCCTGTTGCACAGAGCCCATCTTCAGCTTGAATGCGCTCACCTAGGTGAAGATTTCGGATCCAAGCCTGCTTTACTAAGGCCGTTTGCCAAGAGTGCTTGGCTAAACTTTCACAACTTGAGATAGGTCATTAAGGACCCAAACTGTGTTGATATGAGCCACCATACGGGACGAGGTCCGGTGACGTTGTTATACTTTGACCAGAGCTCCGGTGGATCAACATCTTCTGATGTCCAATGACAAGGATCTTCTGCAAGCATGTTGAAGCCTTCTTTGCATGCAAATATATCGAGACTCTAGACCTCTGATCCTGAAAGTATCCGTCATGGCGACGCCCAGAGGAAATCTTGAAGGTGAACGCTGTATGCATGTTTGCGCCCAGCTTCTTTGAATGAGGCATGTTACTAAAAGCAGCGCTGCGCTGCCCCTCATCGGACTTTCACGCATGAGTCTCACAGACTGGCTGGCTGTCAGACCGCACCCAATTTCCTAGACATCTCGCAATCCGAAGGCTCTTTGCCCAGTTGCCATGACATTCGCTTGCTGAGACGATGGTGCTCGAGCTGGGCTGGGCAAAGGGATGCCAGGGCCTAGGGTCAAAGGGAAATGCAAACGGGGAGCTTCAAGTCTCCGCTGATGTTGAAAGGAAGAGTGCAAGAGAGCCCCAAATCTGGCTCGAAGGGATTCGAAGGCCAGATGTTTGAGTGCCATCTACTGGAGTTTCTGTGAGAAGCCACAGTTCAAAAAGCTCTGAGCATGAACCCCTGAATCCCCCAAAATGCATTGGGTAGACCACCCGCCAAACGAGTGATGCCTACTCCTATTCCTAACTCATGCTGTAATACAGGGGTCAATAAACTATTGAAGAAAAAAGCACCTGCGACAGCCCGTCCTATCTATGGTGCCTTTCAAGCGGCTGACCATCACAAACTACACTGTGAAGTCCCTCCCAACAAAGTTGTGAGTCGAGTCACAGGCGTCTTAATACCACCTGCCAAACAACAAAATCTGCACTTGAAGCTGCAAGGTCGCATCACTACGTACCATGACGACGACGACATCGACGACTGCGACGACGACATCGACGACGACGACGAGGACGAGGACGAGGACGAGGACGAGGACGAGGACGACGACAACGACGACGACGACTACTACTACTACTACTACTACTGCTCTGCTTCCGTAAAGGAAGAACCCAGGCGCCAAGGACGAAATCCTCTTTCGCGTCGTGGTCATCTGCTTGCCTGTCTGTTCTTGCACGAAAATGCAAACGTAACGAAGGGGCCCACACAATAAGAGCAAGGTGTGGAGATCACATTTTACTCTAGTTGTGTAAGGATGAAAAGAGAAGCTGGAAGCAGTTGGAAACATCCTGGCTCTCCTTATTCGTTAAGAAGGATCTTGGGCGAAGAACGCCGGCCTTTTGAAGAAGAACGAAGCTGACAAGAACTGGGATCCCAAGGCGATGTTCTCTCAAGGCCGTCTTGTAAATTGTCACTCAAGCTTGAAGCGCATCAAATTACCGATCACTGCAATCAAAAGAAGTGCAGGATCTTCTTTCAAGAAACATGGCAAGCAAGCGGGGGCACACCCCCTCCCAAAAAACACTACAGTACATAGCAACACCACATTGAGATGGTCAGTAATAAAGGATATTAAAGGTGCAAAGACACTCCTGGAGCTTGAAGGGCCTGGGGACACTTGCTTGGAACCATCTCAAACGCATAGCTTGCTTCAGCATGTAAAGTTGTAGGTGCAGATCTCGAAAACGGTAGAAGCCTCATGTCTCCAGCTTCGAACATCTGCTTCAGGTCTCGGCACGGCACGGCCTTCTTCTTCCTCTTGGCCTGCAAGGCTTTGGGATAAGAAAATTGGAGTCAGAAGGCAAATCTTCCATCCCAAACAAGGAGAAACTACTAGGTCATTAAGGGGGACTCAAAGGGGGAGGTAGGTAACTTTGTACTCCCCAGTATCCCCTGATGCTCCCTGATGCGCGAAGACTCTCAAAGGCTCCCGCGCTGCCTGTCCCGCAACATCCTGCCCTCAAGGACCAAAAATAACGAGATCCCACGGTCCGACGGTTGATAACAACAAACATGCAAGAACCTCAGCACTTCAAACCATGAGAGTTACAGCACTCCGCTACATGATGGTTATGCAAGATTGTTTAGCCCCGTGTCTATCAGCAGCTAAGGGGCTCGTGAGGCCCCAGACTCGCCAGCATCACCTTCATTCTCCTTTGCGGAGCGAGGGGGTTCTGATTTGCGTGATGTTTAGGAATTGTACAAGGATTATGGTCTCTTGTAACGATTCTATTGGAGTGCTTTCTAGATCTTCAAATATTGTCAGGGTTATCCTTCGCAGGGTCCAGGGCAGAAACTTACCTACCTTTCAGTCAAGCAAAGACTGCATCCTGAATTCCATGGTCTAGTACAAACCCATTTCGATTCCTACCTGGACCCCAAAAGTAGGTAAAATAAATAGAACCCTAACCCTAAAACTAGCCCCAAGGGCCATTATTCTACATACTTTTGGGGTTCAGGTAGGCTTTGAAGCAACAAAGTCCAATCATCTCCTCGGCCACAGCAGCCTCCTCAGGATTCTCCTCATCAGGCTCAGGCACCGCTTGGGAAACCTGCGGTCGCAGGAGTTCCGGAGCGGTAGGGCAGCCGAATAGGAAACAACAGTCTTTGGTGGAGGAAACCGCGGTATGGAGAGTCCAACATGTGGCAGGTGACCAAAATCTCGCAAGCCTGGATGCTTTCGGCCATGATCCTGGAAGTCCGATCCCGCTTCTACTTTAAGATGGATGCTTGCTGCGGTCTTAAGGCTGTTGCTTCATTTCAAAATGCCACACACCCCCATGTCTCATGTACTGATGGAGAAGATTGTGCTTCTAAAAATCTTGCTTCTGCTACAACTGTTGTCCATGAACAGTTCTACGATGCCCTCTGTGGACTAACTTGTTAAGCAAGCTGAGCAAAATGCGTGGGCGTGTCCTGAGCTGTGGCAGGCCAATGGCCTGATGCGCTGTTGCAGGCCTTCTAAATGGATCATGGATTTCAGACAGTATTGTCTGCGAATGCTTTGCATTTAATGGCACGCTGGTCGGAGAAGTGCTTGGTATGCAATGCCCACCACATCCCTGACAAGTCTAAACGATTGGTCTCAACAAAGTAACCGTGGCCGGGAGAGCTACGCCCTCCAGTCTAGTCTGGCCGCTGGTTTTGCAATCAGCACGCAAGGAAAACTTGAGTGCTTGGCAGTGTGCCCCCCCCCCACCCTCACCCCCTATATCCGAAAATGTATGGAGGCGACATAGAAAATCTATAGAAGATTCCAGCACTGGACCGGGCCCGTACCCACTTCAGCTTTTCTCCCATGTTGCAACATCGCAGGAGAAACTTACTGGTGCCTGAGAGGTAGTGGGAGCGAAGGCAGATAATATTCACTGCATAATCCCAACATATACCCCCCCAAAAAGGTACCTATGTTCACTCCTCACTCCCTTTTAAGCACCGGTAAAGAAAGCTCCGGCCAGCTGGGGCCAGCCATGGGGGCAGTTTGAGCTCATGAGCTATGCTGAGACAAGGACCGAAGCATGCCGCTGAGGCACTGTACATCTGCTATCGAATCTACGGAAACTCGAAAATACAGGGGTAGGGCATTTTGCGGTGTCATTGGCTACTTGCACCAAAGAAGCCGCCCCGTGATTTTCTAGTTTCTACAGTCGGCGCAGGCCCGTTCCAGGTCAAAGCAACCGGACCATCGCCTTGCTCCGCTAGGTCGTAGCCTGGGTCTTGGCAAAGGAACAAGAAGAACAATAGACATAGTATTGTAAGAGTATACAACAATACAAACAGCATTAAATGGCCATACTACGGGGTAAGAATATACATAAAGTAACAATCTAACATTAAGAACATTATCTCTCTATATATATATATGTATGTATTGTAACTTTCAGTACCTTGCTTCCCCTCAAGGTAGTGTGGACTCTTCAACTCTCTTGGAAGCTACCTGTGGTGGCGAGAAGGAGGGAAAGTCCTTGGAGGATGGTATGCTTTCCGATGACCGAGGCTTACCCAAATGAGCCATAATCTAAACTCCTTGAAGGGGGTTATGAGGGATTATATAGGAGACTACTATAGGACTATTAAGGGGGATACTAGGAGTTTAGACTATAGCTCAAATGCACCTGCTACCGTTGCTTTCTAGGGAATTCCTGTCTCGGCCTCCAAGTTAGGCGAACCGGGGTTCAACTGAGCAGTTTGATATGCCCTGGTATATTACTTTAAAAATGGAGAATCAAATGGAAAAGAACATGGACAAATGACATGGAAGCTTGGTTCGTATGATCTATAGTCTAAACTCCTAGTATCCCCTTTAATGACCCCTATATGACCCGTTTTTTAGGGAGTTTAGACTACGGCTCAGATGGGGGGTTATAGCGATAATTCTTAGAGTCACATCACTGCGAACACCAACTGGGCAGCGACATCCAAACATTGGTAGTTTCCCAAAATAGGCGGGCCCCCATATAGACCCCAATAGTGTAATCCAGATTATTATTAGTATATGGGGACCCCCAAGATGGTACGCGTGATTATGGGAAACCCCCATCAGTGCGAAACGGATGAGAGGGGCCATAGGGAACCTCCTAATCCTTTCAACATCTCCAATGCATTAGGAGGACCCCCCACCACTACCCCCTTAATAAGCAGCCCTAAAATATTCCCCTATAGCCTATATGATCCCCTATATAACCCCCTTTAAGGTCATCGTTTGCGGGATCCTAGAAAACCCCTGGCCCTTTCTTCTCTTTTTTTCTGCTGCGCCGGACTTGGCGATATGCCTCAAGCTGGATGTAAACTTTGAGCTCGGGCAAAGCCTCAGCTCAGCAGAGTGATACGCACCTCCCCTTACATACCCTAACATACCCTAATATACCATGATATACCCTAATATAACCTAATAGACCCTGACATATCCTAATATACGTAATATACCCTAAAATATCATAACATACCCTAATATACCCTGACATCTCCTCACATACCCTAACATACCCTCATCTCAAGCCTCAACCGGCCAATCGCCTCCGTCCAATAATAGTAAAGACACCCCGTCACCACACGCTCAATCGCATTGAATGTTCAAGTTCGTAACCCACATGGTAGTTTGCCGCAATAGGGGGACCCCAATATAGACCCGGAAATACTACAAACCTTATCATGGGGACCCCTACAGGTACCCCTAATTTTGGGAAACCCCAACATGCACAAAAGTAGGAATGCGCACGTACGTGTATATATATATATATACATATATTCATATATATATATATGGAAATGTAATATCCGTTTCTGCATTGGAACCGACATTCAGTAATGAGGGGTGAGGGGTATTTTACAATAAGGGGAATGGGATTATCTCAGCCAGGTGGCTAAAGACACCGACGATGGAGAGGGAAACGCCCATAAAGAACAGAAATGCCAAGCAAGCCTGCCAACTGGAACTAGGCCACACGATTTAGGGCCCAGGCAGGCTGTTTAGGGTTTGGGGTTACAGGTTTAGGGTTACTTGTCCAAGATGTAGGTGGAGGGATGGATCAGGGTAAGTAGAAGTGTCCACTCTGCTTTGCCCCATTCCCTCAATCCCCACTAACAACCAGCAAGTTCATAAACCACCAACACCCTGTGCGCCACATCCGCGTGATGTTGTCATGAGAAGATGCAGTCAAGGTGATACAGGTATGCATCCCTAAACTCTAAACCCCTACATAATCCCTTCCCCCTAATAATAAACGACGCCCCCCCCGGCCCCTAATAATAAATAGTCCGCGGGGTCAGATTTTTTTTGTCATTAGGGGGGCATATTTATTGAGAGAATTTGGTAGGGCTGCTTCTAAAGTACTGGTAAAATCAATTAAAGTCTTTAATTAAAGCTCCTTTTAAAATCAATTGAAATCGAATTAAAATCCCGTTAGAAACAATAGAATTTTCATTAAAATTCCCTTTAAATCAATTGAAATCGAATTAAAATCCCGTTAGAATCAATAGAATTGATTTAAAACTCCGTTTAACATCAATAGAAATTTAATTAAGATTCCTTTTAACATCAATTGAAATCGAATTAAAGTCCCGTTAGAATCAATTGAAATTGAATTAACATTCCTTTTAAAATCAATTGAAATCGAATTAAAATCCGTTAGAGAAATTTAAGTAAGATTCCTTTTAAAATCAATTGAAATCGAATGAAATTCAATTGAGAGTTATTTAAATACGGCTAAATTTGTAATAAAACCAATTAAAATCGCATTCAGTTCTTGCATATTAAATCCTTTAGAACACCATATGAAAATGAACCAAAATCTCGGATGTCAAGGGGATCCCTAATTCCTTTGGATTTCTATAATACCCCCCTGATGACCTCAAAACCCCCCCTAATTCATCATGGTCTGGCTCCTTTTAAAATTAGTACAGCCCCT